GATAGGAAGAAGCATTTTCATGTTTATATGATAGAAGAATGAATAACTCACATGTTGTTTCTGTACTCGTAGTTGATGTTGATGCTATCAATCAAGAACATATCATGAAAGAAATCCTGATGCAAAAAAGCTTAGAGGTAGTTTTATTATTCACGTTTACCTATTTCCTATGTCATAAGCGGGAGTTCAATAATAAAGGCGTGAGTATGGAATGTGGGTGGGTATGGGTTCAGTCTTCTCTTCACTCACATCCATACTCACGCCTTTATCGGTAGACCAGTTATAGATAAGAGGTCAATAACGATTTGAACCGGTGAAACAGTGACAGTGAAGTGGTGATTCATCGTCTCCATTGCATCCGTAGGTGTGGATCTGTGGGTGTGATGTAGTTGTAGCGTGTGAGTGTAAGTGTGAGTGTGGGTGATATCAGAAGATCTAGATCAACACCTACACTCCACTCAGATATCTCGAGACATTTCACTCTAACTTCTTCGTTGTACTTACTAGTAGTCACACTGGTCGTTGCTGAAAAAAGATAGAAAGGAACATTTTCATGTTGATATGATAGAAGAATGAATAACTAACATGTTGTTTCTGTACTCGTAGTTGATGTTGATGCTATCAATCAAGAACATATCATGAGAAAAATCTTGCTGTGAAAAAAAAACAGCTTACTTGTCGAAGTGCTCATGGTGCTGCTCGTCACTATAAAAGCAAAAAATACACTTGCCGTGCGTAAAGAAACATTAAATTACCTGTTATGGTTGTTGTCACAATTATTGTTGAGACTTCTGTGGCCTTAGTTTCTGTTTTGATAAGAAGAACCATGATTATGGCAGCGAGGCCACCTAGAACCAGTATAAGAGCCAGCAGCGATCCGAAAAAATAGGAAATTGAACATGGAAGATGTCGTTTATGACGAAGATGTGATGGTCTATGTATTTCTTTGAAATCATCTTTGGTCTTATCCATTTTTGGATTCAAAACCGATTGATTCCGATCATATTTAGATCTTTCACGCTGCTGTTCTCGTGCCTCTGCAATTTTATTCAAGGAAGAAGAAAAAGATGATCTCAATGAGCTAGACGATGTTTCGGTTTTGTCAATCGCATTAAAAGACGTAACGAATGAAGACTGCTGCATGAAGTGAGAGAGAAAGCATAGATAGAGAAGACAATCGTCATAATGAAATTAAACCTACTTCAGGCAAATGAGCTAGTTTATCATTTGTCAACGTTCGTCTTCTTCGATAAAACCCAACCTTCACATGAGGTTCTAAATATTGATGTCGAATGACCTTTCTAACTGACGGCTGGTCTGGTAGGGATGACCGTGTTCTCATTGCATCACAACTGAACTCAGGTGTTGAAGTTATGTTTCCAACGTTCGTTTTTTCTATTTCCTAGAGAGAAATTATAATGGTATGTATTAAAGATACGGAAATCAGTTGACTTTTCCCTTGATTTAGACTGATTTTTCTCTAAAAGAAACATCTCATCTTACAAAACCTTGAATCGTACTGGATCTTCGTTCCTAATTACAGAAAGTTTTCATCAAATAAATTCTCCATGGAAAGTTTTATGCGAAACTGGCAATCGTTTCGTTTTCTACATGCCACAATCGTTCAACAAGATAACAGTGTTTTTCTAACAAGATAAGGCATAACAACAAATACGTTCTAATTTGGCACAGTATTATCTGAAGGACATTATATTGTCTGAGCTACTTTTCGTGTTGATTACGCAATTGATCTGCTGACATGAACAAGAGCTTAAGCATATATTATATGTTGGATGATGTAAGAAAGAATAATGATAGTAACACTAGCGAGAGAAGATTTTCACGTAGCAATCACGGCTTAGAGCAAGAGATATTCTAACTTTTACAGCTTGACGAGCTGATTTCCGTGCGATAATGATTTGCATTCCGCATGATCTTTTAAATTAGAAACATGATCAATGTTAACAGTGGAAGATTACGATGAATTTATTGGGTTTTAACGGTATTGTAGCTCAAAAGAATAATGTCTTCATGCGGCATAACAAAATCAACTAGACCAAAATTCCGGAATATGTGAAATGGTATTTGGAAAAGATTACTGATACTTCTCTCAATCTAATATGCAAATAATTTATTCCTTCCGTCATATTGTCGCTAACAAGCAAACAAGATATCTATAGATCTTTGTTGGTCAACCCTGTCAGAATCGATAGAAAAGATGATGAAATCAATGCTTATATGTAATTTTCTCGAACTAGTGTTTGAAGCATGAGCAGATGTCAGAATAGAGAAGGATAGGCGTAAGTAGGTGAGATCTTCCAATCCAAATTCGGCCATACCCTTGCCCAAACCCATATTCTTAGTAAATGAACGATCAAACGAACGATCTACTGACTACATAATCAACGCATCTGCTCTAGACAAAATAACATCAATATCTCGTTCTTCTATTGGGCGACGATTGTTCTCATATATGCCACACTCATTTGTGTCATTTCGTATTCAGAATTGCTTCGACTGAGAGCTGCTCGACTCCTTCATTTTAGAAAAGCTTGATTTTCTTCAACAGAACATGACTATGTCCTAAGGCTTTTCTCAGAACGAAAAATATGAGAAACTTGATCGATTCTTCGCGACCTTTTCTCCACTTTTTTTACTTTCAAAAGGCGTCTATAAATAATGTTCACAAAAACAATTTTCGAAATAAAAGAACTCATCCTCGCGGAATCTGCGTCAAAAGAAAAGAAAAGAAAAATCAAATTTAAAAAACAACAAACGATGAAGATAGATCACATTATTGCTGCGATAAAAGACATGTGAATACTACAAATTGACAATCGAAAAAATTGTTTTTTTTATTGTTGAAGGGAGAAAGCTGTATTATTGTTTCATTAGTTGAATTGTGAATGTGGTTTTTTCGTTACTAGTGAAAACGGCAACAATCGATTCAACCCTATGCTGTTAAGGAGAGTTCCTGTATGGATAGAAGATATAGCAGGCGTTGACTGCTTTTTTCTTCATTTCATACGTTCTGCATTATATTTGCATGCCTAATAACGGATTGCCGATATTACCCTTGTATAAAAAAGAATAGACACAACTTGACTTTTGCCAAAGAGGAAAGTATATCATTGGCACGCTCAGTAACATCAACATTCTATCAGTTCATTATTACAACATTCTCAACGCTTACCTGACTTAGAGCATCATCCGGTTGTGCTGAATGTGCCGTTTGGGACGTAATGCGATTCACATGCTTCACATGCACCTTAAATAGAAGATGTGCAATTTGAAGATATATCATATCAATTTACTTTTCGTCGGATATCCTTTCGAAGACGCGATGATTGATTGCATAGTTTGATCGGTTCCACTTTTACTCCAAACATAGCAATATGCTGTTGTATTCTTTCTGACGATGCAAACAAAACAGTAATATAGTGTCGTTGACTCCTCAATGTTTTATTGAATGTGAAAGCAACATTTCTTTATAATTAAAATAAGGTGATGATTCATTATGTTAGGCTTCTTATAGACTGTGAATGCAAATAAAATAGTAAAGTCGTAGGGTTTCATTCATCAATAACGAGCTCTTAAAGAATTTATTATGTTATCCGAAACATTCGTGCAACTGATTTCGCACTGCATTCACAGAACATATTACATATAACGTTGTATAGAGTATGGATGTGGTTCTTATAATCGCATACACCCACATCCACACCCACCTTACACAAACACTTTCATGTACTAAAAAGTAATCATTGCAATGCATCATTTGTAAAGTATTATTTGTGTCCATTTTGCACCTTTATCATCATGAAAATTCGAAGGCAATGTAAATCCATATTTTCATTTTTATTACTACCTCGAATATTGCTCATAAACAACAAAAACTGGTTTATATATTAACTGAAAATATATATAGTGGGTCGAAAAATTATTCGTTCACCCCTATATTTGTTTTTCTTTTCTTTTAGTATGAAAGCAAACTTCGGAACTCCTGTAAACAGTATATTGTAGCACATCATCTCTAGTATATATGCTGTTACTTTCAGATTTGTAAGTCTTGTCATCTTTCTTTCATGGAAAAATTATTCGTCCAGATAGAGAAAATCTTATTTTACTCCGTGAAATATCTGGCAATTACTCGATTTTTGGTCAGAATGTTCCGAAATGTTTCAGTCGAATGTCCCAGAATATGTACTTGTATTATAAATAGACAACTGAGTTGTTGACCTTACTAAATATATCACATGACACCAAGGAAGAAAGAACACAGCAATGACCTTAGAACTCTGACAATTAAACGTTATCAGAGTGGTAACTCCTAACGTGAAGTGGCAGCAAAAACATTACTGTCTCGATCTACAATGGGATATATAATCAAAAAATACAAGCAAACAAAATGTGTTGGACATTTCTTTGGACGTGCACACTAAGTTAAAATGTGTCGCAAGTGTCGTGTTTTGCGACACATTGTACGACGCATTTTCTCCAGCAGGACCACGACACATTTCGTACGACACATGCGACACATTTTCTATTGGTCCTTTTGGAAAATCATATTTCGATGTTTTTTTTTTCAATTTAATTCCATTTAATTATTCCTATTTTGAAAACTCAAGCTGGTCAGATCCTGGGATCTGTCCGATCTCGAGTTGATCTGATTTGTATCAGACCGCTTCAGAGTAGTCCTCTCACGATCATAGATCGAGATTGGCATTTTCTCGATAAAAAAAATAATCGAGAAATAATCTAGAAAATAAAAATAATTTGAAATTTTTTTTTTCTATGTTAAACCACGTTGTTTATATATGACCATGTGTGCATAATAAAACGGTGAACGAATAGTCAGCAGACAGAACGTGACAAATTCGTATACGACACATTCTAAGCACGACACATTTTTCTGCTGGAGTGTGCGACACAATAATTCACGACATATAAACACGACACATTTTTATTTAGTGTGTGGCCGAAAAAGGAAAACAACAGCAATGATCGACCGACTGATCCAACGTAAACTTAAGCTTGATCGGCGAAAACCAGTTTTCGTGGTGAAGATTGAGATCGAAAATGAGCCAGGAGTTTCATTACATGCGGGTACAATTCGGAAACCAGCACATGAAGGAAAATTATTTAGTCGAATAGGTCGTAAGAAACCGTATGTGACAAGCATAGTCGAGGAAAACGGTTCAGGTACGCCAATAAAATGCTCAAGAAACCAATTGGATTTTGAGAAAACGTTATTTGGTCCGACGAATCAAAGTTTAATATTTTCGGTTCGAATGATAAAGTTATAGTCTGAAGAAAACCACATGAAGAATATGACCAAAAGTGCACGGTTTCTATTGTCAAGTACGATGGTGGTTCAGTCATGGTTTGGAGCTGTTTTACTCGCCAAGGAGTTGGAAAATTGTGTCTTGGGTCGTATTATGAACAGGTGTTACTGTTGGAATATTTTGCGAAAAAAATTATTGCCATCAATCAAACAATTTAAATTGGACTAACGATCATTTTTTTGCATGATAACAATCCTAAACATACCTCAGGATTAATCAAAGATCGATTGAAGGAAAAAAGATTGAAACACTGCCTTGGCCACCTTATTCACCAGACCTTAACCCAATAGAAAATTTATGGGATGAACTTGAGTGTCATGTGAAAAACATCAACCAAAAAAATAAACCAAAACTTGAATTTTTGTTAATGCAAGAATGGAATCAAATTGAATTGTCTGTACTAGAGAAATTTGTAGATTCAGTTCCTAGTCGATTGTGCGAATGTATCAAAATTGAGGATTATTCTACAAAGTATTAATTATAGTTGAACCAATTTTTATTTTTGAAATAAACTATTTTTTTGTGAATACGGTCGAATAATTTTTCATTGTGAAAACTCATGATGTTTTTGTTAATTTTTCAATAAAAAATAGATGAAAAGACTTACAAAGCTGAAAGTAACAATATATATACTGGAGATGATGTGCTACAATATACTGTTTATAGGATTTCCTAAGTTTCTTTTCACGCGAAAAGAAAAGAAAAAAATAGGGACGGACGAATAATTTTTCGACCGGCTGTACATTACATTTCCTAAACTCTCCCTCCAAAATATACTCAATCTCAAGTTTTGCAGTTGCATTAAAAAACTGAGTCGCATTGAGACAACATTACAGTAGAGTAATCAAAGTCACTAAACTGTTACCAATTCTACAAAAATAAATCCTTTCGACAAAGGTTTCTAATTATCTACTGATTAGTTAACATTTTAAGCGAAAATTCTTCAGAAAAATTAATTAATACTAATTATATCAAATTAATCTTATTTAATAACTACTAATGATTTCAAAAGACTACTTTTTATCGAAATATAACCTATTAAACTCTGCCTTAACTCGGATTCAATGCAGAATTAAATGAATCACGCAAATATATAAATATTTGTTTTCAAAATCGCTTTCGATCGAGACATATGAGTAAAATACCGAACTATGTAGAATATTTTGGTTATGAAAAACATTGTATTCGAAACGTTTCAATGCTATATGGAGATTAAACATAAATCCAATATGACCACTCTTGTAGAGCACCTCAAGTTATATTGTCTGCGCAGAGCTTAGATTCAGGTGTATAGTAATTTCAATGAAACATTCGTACAGATAAATACATCAATTTTAGATGTATATTTAGAAAATGTCTTCTATATATTTACTCTAGCCGAGAAAACTCAAAGGTTTAGATCTTAATGTTTTCGATTCTTTTATACTATAGAGTGTTTAAAGTTGTATGGAATCCAGTTAAAGTTCGTTCATTCGCAGGCACTTCGATCTCTGAAAAACTTTGGATTTTATACTGAATTCTCCTTGAAAAAGACATCTACTTTGATGAAAATTCTAACTATTCAATAGTGGTCTTCTATTTAGAGAATAACTTTTCAAATATATTGTTTTCACTTTTCGTTCGTTTCTTTATTTTGTCATATATATAAAGCCACGTGTGAACTGCACATGCATCAGTTATACGTAATATGTTTGGGTGTAAGAGATATGGTCGACAATTATGATAAAAAAATGATTTGATGATTTATACAATTAGAAATTATCGGTCTTTTGAATCCAACAGTATCAACACGAGTTGAATTCACATCAGAACAAGAATTAACTGTCCGCCAACTACAAATGACAGCTGTTACAATACCTTATCAAACATTGAGAGTTAGTGTTATGGTTCAAATATGTAGTAATTTAAACAAAATAAAAATATTTCAATGTGGACATGGCGAATATAGTGAAGCTATGTTGCCAGTGAGTGCATACTAGGATGTTCATTGATCTTGAATAGGAAATATATACTTTAGACACTTGAAAAACTTGGTCGAGTTGTTCAACTATATAGTGATAGTGACATTAACGCTGAAGTGCCTAGTGGTTGTTGAATTTCTAATCCTCTTTCTATGATCAAAATTTCTCAATCATATAGTGCACATCAGAGACGGACGAATCAGCAAAAAAGTCGCACCGTCACCGCCCCGTTCCGCACCGCTGATAAAGTTCCACACCGCCACCGCACCGCCCCGTCAAAAATATGTTTTAAAAAACTATTTATTGGCAAATTTTTCATTAAATTTTCATAATGGCTAAATCATTTCATGAGATGAAGAGACATATTTTAAATGCATAAACATCGTTCTGAAATAGAAAAAAATAAATATATGAAAATGAAAGGCAATTATAATACAGTCACTCATTTTGTGAAACTCACGTATATTTTCGAATAAAATAGTGATTGTAAGTTTTAAGTTCGAGGTTTGGCGACTCTCTCCCTTCCCCCACTCCATTACAGACACTCCACTCAGGGTTGCCAGATCTTCCGATATGGCAGAAAAAATTGCGATTTTTTGAAAGTTTCCCCAACGACTTTCCGACGTTCCGATTTTTCCGATTTTAACATATTTTTCCGATCGCCTTCAGATTTCCTAATTTTCCTCCGGTTTTCGAAGTCTTATTTGGGAATTCAAGTTCTTAGGACATTCTAGAATAGTTTAACCATGACACGACACCACACATATATAGCGATCTATTTCACCATAGTTATCGGGTAGTGAAGCGTCATGAACTCATCAAACCACACTGCAGTGATTTGAAAGCATATCCTCCAATAAAACTATGATGTTTTACAGACAATTAAGATCCAGCTTTCTATCACGATGAACTAACTTTCTCTGTTCGTTTACTATAGTGTTAATTAAGAATATTTTCGTTTCTGAGCTTTTTTTGTTTCATCACAGATATAATAAAACTAATCATAATCGTATGGGTACTAATTTAGCTGTTGCAGAATTGAAAATCTGAATGAATTCTGTTTCTCAATCATGAGTAAATTGTGTAATCGATATTTTCCCTAGACTGAAAGGCTAGGGTCTAGAAACCGAAATTCACCTGTGTCTGTCTGTCTGTCTGTCTGTCTGTCGGTAACGCGGTCAAAATGGCCATTTTTTTGGCACATGTGACCATTTTTTTGGCACAAACGACCATTTTTTTGGCACAAGTGACCATTTTTTTGGCACAAACGGCTATTTTTTTACTAAAATTAACTAGGTAACTATGGTACAAATGAGCATATAACTATGGCACAAACGGTCATTTTTTTGATACAAACGACCACGTAACTATGGCACAGGTGACCATATAGCAACCATGGTACAAACAACTATTCCGGTAACTATGGCACAAATGACCATCTAAAGACTGATGTAAATGAACCCATAATAATCATCGATAAAATGTGTCAATGAAATAACTATAATTCGGGTAGTGGTGTAAAACCGCTTACAAAAGCATTTAATTAGTGAGAGTCAGACCAAATGAGCAGTATGGATTTAAAGAAATCGTTTAAATTATTCATTATTGTAGGATTGATTGTGCAATGTTGTATCAATGAATATCTAATTTATTAATAGTTTAGAATTAATGCGCGAATTGAAGCATAAAATATTGATTAATAAAACTCAAATTTTATGAATAATATAATTCATATTTTTGTACGTACAAATAGCGCCAATATAATTACAAAAAAAATCGTATTCTTGTCTAATCTTATTGAGCGCTATTTATATTTATAAAAGCAAAAAAAAATAAAACAAAAACGACAAAAACGACAAAAAAAATTAAATTTGTAAAATGCATTATCTTTACTTAGAGTGAGAATTCTCCGAATTAAGTTTCCTGCTCGCCTAAGATATACTGGTTATATTATCAATTTTGCGTATTACTTTTTTAATGTAGCTTTTTATGCTATTATATCCGTACATGTGTTCTATCAGTCTAGGGCTAAGTGAATCGCTTGACGATGAACGTTACTTGTTCTTTAATTCTTTATGAAATATCATTTCCGATATTGCTTCGAAAAGATGAACAGAAGCAAGATAAAGGATATTGAAGCTATCGAAAATATATAAACTAGTTATTTAAGCATGGCAAAATACTTTCTGATTTTCTTCCGATTTCGAGAACAAAAATTCCGACTTTTTCCCGATTTTTAGAAAAATTTTTCTGATTTTTTAATTATCGATCTGGTAACCGTGACCCCCACCATTACAAACCTCAGCAGCGCATAAAAGGCTCTAGTTTTTTGTATAATATATCAATGATTTCATACGTATTCGGAAAAAAGGTATTTTACAATTTAACATTAAGGCATCAGGACAAAAAATAAAAAAAAAATGTGAGTTCCACATTTTAGCTCCTCTGGAGCTGCGCTAACAAGTCTTTTTTTACTGATTAGTTTTGTGAAAAAATTTTTAAATTTTTAAAAGATGTCTCTAAAGGTCTAAGTATATTTAAAAAATCAAGGTTATACAAAGGCGGGGAAACCGCGAAATTTTGTCATGCACCGTTACCGCCCCGCCCCGCCGCGGGGCGGGGCGGGGCGGTTTTACACCGCGGCTCGTCCATCTCTGGTGCACATAATAATGAAAGTAAATCAATATCTTTCTCTGAATTTTATATTCAAAAATATTCAATGATACTTTGGTCATAATGAATATCAGTCTAGTATAAGCTCGTTGTATGTGTGGATGGAAAAAGAAGAAGTTCTGTCATGTGAAAATAAAAATGTTTTAAATTTTTGTGTTGAGAATCAATATCTAGTTTCAAGCAGATACATAGCAGTTTTATATCAATCAAGTAAACTAATTTTGATCATCCAGCTCTGCGAAAACTGATAACTAGTTCTCATAACTCATCACGAGACTCTGTTCATACCAGTAAAGTCGTCAAACAGTTTTTAGAATTGATTCTCACGATCCAATTAACTGGAAGTTGCGACAAACTTAGTTCTAAACCTATTTTGTAAGACAAAAAACAGATAAATTCGTCTTGATTCAAGAATTCTATATAGAACAACGTAATACAATGTTTAAAAAATTATTTGAAGTACCAATAACCGATGATGTTCAAGAAGAATTTGTTAAAGTATTAGCAAACCGTAAAATACAGAGAATTTTTTCTCCAGTTATCTTCCGTTTCGTAGAAATGTATTTTAGATAATTTAAGATTTGTACAAGAATTATTGAAACAATCCAATGTTGATATAATCATTTTCAAAATAACAAAAAACGAAAAAAGGTTTTTTATTTTTCTATGATTAGGTCAACGATATATTTGCTGATCATTCATCTTTACAAGCAGTAGTTCAAAATGGACATTTAGAAATCATTCATTTATTGATTCAACATGATGTTAATTTAGAAATTTAGATAATAAACTTTTCTAAAGAAAGAAAATTTTATTCATGAATATATTCCAAGGTCAAGATGGTGATCAAGCTATACGTCATGCAGTATTTGGTGATAAAGCTCAAATATTATTTGTTTCATAATTCGATTCGCAAAATATTTTCTTCAAATCATGAAAAGAGTAAATATTAACGAATCTTTATGTATTGTGATTTTGACCTCTTTTAAAAAACGAAGATTCATCATTAGAAGAATATGGTTGATCGGTTTATTCAAGTTTATGATCAGTCAACTAGTTGCCTATTGGATACGATGTGAAGAAAAAAAGAAAACAAACATTTTATATCTATAAACAATTAATATATGAATCACATCTTCATTAGAGTATAAAAATTTGTATTTTAATTCATATTTATTTCAGGTATTTGTAAGGGCCATTTCGATGTATGTAAAATTCTTTTTATTAAATGATGCTTTCAATGTAATTCATCGTGAATTATTTGATCTTATTTTTGTTTTTCTCTATTGATAAGCGAAGAAGTAGGAGAACAGATGCCACAAATCTGAAAGCTTTCTTTTTCCTAATTGATATCGACACATTAATCAATCGAACAAAACTATATGAAAGAGAGATTAATTGGGTAGGTTTATGAGTAAAATGAAGAACCTCAAATTCATACCCTCAAAATATTCTCTAACTAAGTGGTACGTCTGTCTGTTCAATAAATTATTTCTATTTTCTCTTTGGCAAATTATTTTTATTATTATTTCTTTTCATGTTTATACCAAGAAATGAAAAGATTGTATAGAAAAGCGAAAACATTATTGCCATATAGATTCATAATTGTCTAGAAAAACACAGACATACCAAAATAAATAGAAAAAAAAACTAAATTTTAACTTTTATTTTCTTTTTTTCAGTGCTATTGAATTTATTCTTTGTAAGATTCAAAATCTTCTCTGGCTTGTTGATGAGTATAAAGATGATGGATTTACAGCTTTACATTTAGCTGCACTTAATGATCATGGTTGTGTTGGTGAGTTACTTCTAAGTAAAGAAAATGCATTGGTTGATGCACAAAACAATAGTTTACAAATTGCTTTTTATTTAGCTGTTAGTCACCAACACATCGAAATTGTGTCTGTAAGAAGAATAAATTCTATTCTAAAATAAGAAACATTTTATTCTATTTTTATAGTTGTTATGTAATAAAAATGGTGATACGTGTCTACATGACGCTTAAGACATCATACAATATCACAATTGAAACCCTTACAAAATACCAAAGATAATGTAAAAGTTTATACTAATTTAAAAAGAAAGCTATAGTTCCATAAACTACTCAATCAAGAACATACTTGATGCGACAATTTACGACCAATCTTCCAGATCTTCTCTGTTGAATGATGAAAATCGCAGGTCTCTGGGATGTTCCTATTAAAAGTTACGTAAAAAACAGTGAAGCATCCTTTATTTTAAAATGAACAGTAGAAGATTAATTGTTAATTAGATGATGAATATATTTACAAATACGAATGGTTATGATCAACAACCAAGTGTTATTATTGCATTTAAATTAGTTATGCATGGTGCAAATTTATCTATAAAATCAACAATTATCACAAAGTACTAATTCAATTAAATGTTTTATTTGTTCCGATACAAATCGAGACATTATTTCAACCATCTTCACATATTGTTACATGTTATTCGTATGCTAGTTGTGTTAAAAAATGTTTATGATGTAAAAAAAAAATGGTCAAACCAAAAGCAAAGTAATCCACAAAAATTTGACATAGTTTAATTTGTTTTTTCTTTTCATTTTTCATCGTGAAAGTAAATAAAATGATTTTAAAATTAAAACTAATTTCTTTATTTACTTAATAGAATGTGCTAGTGTCATGAAAAAATATTTTCTATGTCGAGTATCTATTGATTTCATAGTATCGTTTAATCAACTTTGTTGTAAAAATAATGATCATGTTTCAATAAATTCTGAAATAATATCAACAATAGCAATTACAAGAAATTCATGAACAAGTTGATTGTCCAACATGTATGGATCGTTTAAAACATATGGTCTTTTTATATGATCATGGTGTTTGTCAAAATTGTGGTGATCATGTACAAAAATGTCCAATATTTCGAAAACCAATTGAAAAATCGATTATTTTATACACATAAAGAATAATCGTTTTATTTATGTATATGTCATAGTTTTGTTATAAGACGTAATTTCGTTAGACAACAAGAAAAAAATAAAAAGAATGTCCGTATGACTCAATTTCAATACAATCTCTTTCAGTGAATAGATTCTTATTAAATGTTTGAGAAACTGAAGTCATTTTCAAAAAGCAATGGATATGACTGTTTTTGAATAATTTTTCATCAGAACAATAGAGAGAACTGGAGTTTTTACTGTTCAAGAGAGAAGATCTTCGACTCCTTCATTTTTCTATCATGGTCCGCTCAAGAGTACAAAGGTCTTTCGGACATCTTGATGATTAATTCCATATACAGAAAGTCTTTGTAAACTCTGAACATTTTTGGAAAGAATTAGCCATCTGATAATATTGCACTTAGTGTTCTAATTACGTTATTGTAAACTCATTTCTTTTGTTTGATGAAGAAGACCATTGAAATTTTTTTCTATTTCGTGAAACTTTCAAAAATAGAAATCCATGTTGTGTATGGATATCGATTATCATATACTATTATTCTATACATACGTTGCATAGTATGATCGATAAGAAAAAGGCAAAACTATGAGAATGCGGTTGAATGTGAAGACAAGAACCGTAATCCACGCTCAAAATGGAAAAGTTTGACTTTCTGTCAGACGCAAAGTTGATAACTGGTATAAGATGGAAGACAATACTGAAAGTTTGTTAAGTGTAGGAGAATTATGAAAACAATCATTTTCAATGATGATATGCACAAAAGTGAAATCTTGTTGTTAGCAAAAGTTACTAGATGACGTTTGTAGAGAAAAAACTTGTATCATCAAAGAGCGACATCATGTGTGTCCCTCAAAATGAAGTTGATCTCAACTGATGAACGAATCAGAATTGTATCTAAGTAACAACAACCTACCTCCATTATCAGATCATTATTTTTTCGTTTGTTTAGAATGATGTAGTGCGTTACAACTGCATAGGTCTATGGGGCCATATATAATTTTCCTTATGTTTTTAGATTATAACGGCATTTATTCTTGATTAATATTATTAATCATGTCACAAGCTGAATTTGATAAAGCTGCTGAAGAAGTCAAAAATCTAAGCAAAAAGCCATCTGATGATGAATTACTAAAAATTTATGGTCTTTTCAAACGTATGTTTAATAAAAAATTCAAAAACAAATATTTATATTTGTTTATGTTCTTCTCTTTCAGAAGCAACTGTTGGTGATAACACCACAGCTAAACCAGGCATGTTCGATCTTAAAGGCAAATATAAATGGGAAGCTTGGGATGCTAATAAAGGCAAAAGCAAAGAAACTGCTCAAAAGGAATATATTGCATTAGTTAAAGAACTCAAAGCTAAACAATAAAATTGTGTTAGCACAGATGAAAAAATGAACGTTCCATTTTAATAATTGTTACTTCATTTTGAATTATCTTAATAAAACATCCTTCTATAAGAATATTATTGTTTTTTTATTTCATATAAATTCATTCACTAGATATACATTAAACAGATGAAATATCATACATCGGATCAGAGTTATTACATTTATTGATGTTCAACGATGGAAGGGAAGGAGTAATTGGTTGCTGTTCTATATTAACTGATGATAATGATCGATCTATTGTTGATGTATTTTGTTGTCGAAAATTTTGTCTCCATTCAGTCAAATAATTAAAATAATTTTTCATTTGTTTATATCGATAACAAATAAGAAAAGGTGCAATTAAAATAAGTAATGGTGCAGATATAATAAAAAGTATAATAAAAACAATAAATAAACTAATGATTATGAGGCGATGAAGAAATAATGATGCACGAGAATGACCAAGTCTGAATAAATTTAAAAAAAATCGATTAAAGAATATATGAATAAAATCATTGGTTAGCAACGTGACTTGGAAAAATAGACACATTAAACTGCCCTTATGGAAGCAATTTGGTTTGAGAACCTATCGAACTTGAAAGAAATTAAGAAAAATTTCTATATGACTCTCTTAGGTGACATCATCTTAGAAGCTTATGTTCAAAGAGACATACTTCAATTATTTGTAAAGATAATGCTGGCACTTGTTTTTGAATCTAAAAATCTCTCGTTTAATTTCAACTGATCATCATTTAGCTGTGTGAAATGTCTTACTTTTCAGTGAAAGACTTTTTCCTATTTCTGTTACTTTACTAATAAATATATATTGTTTCATCTATAGATTGTGTATAATTCGACTCACGATAGAAACTTGTTTTTTTCGTAAATAGAAAATATGTGGCACAAACGAAATCGGATACATGAAAGAAGTTACCCCTCAAATAATGAAAAGTGATAAATTATTCTATTCAATACTTTACACTATTATTTAGCACAATAATTTTTGTGAAGAATCAAAGTCAAATGAACGGTGGATATAGCTCATTTCGCTTGAAATGACCCACATAAACATTTAATAAATACATACCGATTTCGACAAGGACCACGTTCGTAATGTAATAGGAAAAAATCATTCTATTTAAAAAGAACTTAAGATAAACAGAAGATTTTGAATGTAAATCATTCTTACATCTAAAGATTTTAAACAATACCAACAAAACATATGGTTACAATTAATACACATTATTTGTGCACAACCAGCAGTCCATTCTAAAGGAAAACGACATCTTGGACAACGTTTTATATTTGATTCAATTTCCATTGCATTTGGCGTACTGAAAAACAAAACTTAGCAAAAACTAAATTTTCTAATACAATCTAATATTTATTTACAGTAAGTCAGAACAATGTTGATGTGGATGCCACTGATAACGGCATTTGAGACAAAATGTGCTTTGACACTATGAAATTAAAATAGATTCATATAAGATCATGTTATTCGTACTTTTGTACAGGTTATTGGTTGCTTTTTATCCTTTTTTTGTTCATTCGATAATGTCAATACATGGCCACAATTAACTTGTGGACAAAACACTCGTTGAGGATCATTGATCACTTCTAAATTTATTATGAATGAATAATTGATATTTAGTGAAACGAAAAACGAGAATACCATGATCGAATAACCGTTTTGTATAAAGATGATATTCGGAATCAGTAAGCAGAGAACGAATCTAAGAAAACATTAGTATTTAAATTTAAAAAATGAGATAAAATCAAATACCTCATTTAAAGTTAATAAACTATCACATTCTGCATTGGGACATCTAATTAATCCTAATCTAAATATGACAGTTTAAAATATGAAATGAATTATGGATATCATTTTTTCTTAGCAGCAAAATCATCTTACGTTGTGTTTACTTGATTGACACAATACTGATGTACACACTACAATATAATATAGATAATGAGACTCTGCCGGAGACACATGAATAGAAACAAACCTCTGTACAAAACTGACAATGGCATAATTCTATTTGAAAAACATTTGTTCTATTTTCAATATTATTACAACAAATTGAACATTGAAATATTTGTTCATGGCTTAATTTCAATATTTCTTCCATTATTTCAATCAATAGTTTATCAGAAAGAAAAAAGAAAGAATGATAAAAATAAACTTTCTTTTTACTTTTTCAGAAAAAAAAACAAGATACTGTTAACAAAAAAGAAAATCAGCAATGTAAATATAACTATGTCACACTTTAATCATGTTCACAAGAAAAAAAAATAATAAACAACTAAATCTGTAAGAGTACTTTTTTTTCTTTGTTCACGTATATTTCGGTTCATAAGTCCGTACCAAACAAAAAAGAAAGAAAAACAAACAAGTCTTTCAAGAAATATATACAAACACATAGATTACCCAAAAACAAAAAAATATATCACGCAGAAAAAATAAAAAATAGACTAAATCAAATTACATCTTGGATTGCATCGTTCATTTTTGCTTCATTTTGATCAGATTTTTCTATTAATTTACTATCTGTCATGTCATTTTCATTTACCTTTACTATTTCTTCACCTTTATTTTTATGTTCATTCGCAACATTATTCGTTGCTTGATTTTCTTTAGATTCTGATATGGCAGATGCACCTGAAAAATTCTAATGATTTTTATAAAATTTAAAAGTTTATAACAAACTTTTTTTTCGTTTAGTATTAGTCGGCATTTGATGATTAGATGCACGTTTATTTGACGATTTTTTTCCAGGTTTATAAACATAATCTAAGTCATGTTGACTTTTACTATTCTAAAAAAAACAATTGATTGAAATATACTTTTTCAGAGGATTTGTATTTACTTCAATTTTTTCATTTTTTGTTTCTTGATCATCATCAATAGATTCTTTTGAATTAGTACTGCGTTTTTTCATACTACGTATTGTTGATTTTTTTCCTGGTATACGTTTTCCTTCATCAATTGGTTCCATTAAAAAATTTAAAATTCGTTCAGCATGATCAGTATTACGACCCGTTGCTGGTAAACCAAGAATATTCGAAATTGATTTTAATTGATCTTTTTTTAATCTAATTTAAGAGAAAATATGTCGTTTGAATAAAAACAATTATTAGAATTATTCTACTTTATTAAATTATTTAAATGCTTTTGATATTCATCACTATTACGTTGAAATTCAAAACCTTTAAATTCTCGAAGATTTTTTCGAATATTTGCTTTATTCTTAAAAAGAAGAAAATCATCTATTTTTTTTTCTATGTTTTTTTTTTGTATTATTCTTACTCCTCGTCGACCAAAACAAATACTACGCATTCGAGATAAAGCATCAGTTGAACCATGAGTTATTTGATAATTAACTAAATACGAATTATTTTAGATAAGAAATTTAATTGTTGTTCTACTTACTATATTCGATTTCACCTAATGGTTTACCATTGCCCTAAATAATAAACAATTCCTGAATTTATTTATTATGCAATACGAACAACCTCAAACCGTAGTCTTTAAAGAATGAAAAAAAGAATTTCGCACAAAATATAAATCTAACAATGGAAGTCACTCAACTAGACTTATTGATGCTGCACTTCTATGATAGTTTGTAAATGAATGCCGTGATATGCAGCTATGATAAAAGCTTGTCTTTTACATTGCTCATATACACCGATAACTTCGATGGTTTTATTATATTCTAAACGTGCAGTATCTTTGTAGCAACAAGTGAACGGCCTGAAAGTTGTTCAGGATATGCAAAACTCATTCGAGTCTAGAGGTTTTATATTTTTAAGATTATTTTATTATTAAATTAAATAGACTTACCTGAGGAATAGGTAATTCTTTTTTTGTTGGTATTGATTCAGATATTTCGAGACGTAATGTTGGTTTTCTTGAACGTTTTCCATTAAGAATAATTGGTTGTTCAAAAAGTGGCGGCGCATCAAGTTCATTTTCTTTCATTTCACTTTCTGATTTAGATGAAGCATCATGTTTTTCTCTTTCATCATCATTTTCGGTCTTTTCAATATTCTTTTGTTTGTCTTCTTTTGATACATTTGCTTCTCCAGAAGAAATAACAACAGCTGTTTCTTCTTCATTTTTTGTATTAATTTTAGTTGGCGATTTTTCTTTTGTTTCTTCTATCGTTGTTTTTCCCTTTATAGAAGAATATATAAGTACACAAAACGAAATTTCTTGGCTTACTTCTTCATTTGTAGAAGTTTCTTTGTTAATATTTAAATCGCTTGCACTTGTCATGCCTTTTCTTAAAATTTATCGATAGAACTAAATGATTTTATCGGCTTCTGTTTTTTCTCTTCGCTCCTCCTCCATAGTACCACTAAATACCAATAGACAAATCAGATCAATAGATAACTACATATATATATATGTATATTTGATAGATGGAGCATCAATACATATTTCAAAAATTTACCTGCTGTGATAACAAAACAAGATAAATGATAACTGAAAAATTCATTCGACTAGTTTGAAGTTTTTTTGGTGGCTGAAAATTAATACAATAAAATGCCGTTTCCGACGGTCGGAATGATCGTCCTGAGAAAGAAGGTTTGAACTCTATCACTAAGATTTTATTATCATTAATTGAACTATCAAGACTAGAATTGTATGAGAACAACTTTGGACGCATTCTCAATCAAGAATACCAAGTTATTGTTAAATGTTTTATGGATTTAAACGTATGATTCTATAGATCGGTACAACTTAAATATAATTTAGAAGATATGACAAAAAGAGTATTTAAGAATTTTTGTTATGAATAATATACAAATCAACACTGAAATAGTTTTCTGTAGAGTAGAACCAAATCAGATTAAATCGAGACAATGTCCATGACCATTGGAAATAGAAGTAACCGAGATCAGGACTTAAAAAAACTCAGTCCTGCACATCTCTAATTAAGATATACTCTAATCAAAGAAATGTGTTTGAGCAGTTAAAACTGTTGATTGAACAGATTTTTTTCTTTGAAATTTTTAAAGATGTGTTGAAAGTTTACTAAAAGAAATACAATAACAAGTATAAGGATATTTTTAGTCAACATTTCTATGTAATTTTGACGAAAACATGAAAAAAACTCCACAGAACTAGTTCATTTTGAGTGTTTTGATAAAATCTTGATATGTATCATACTTTTTTTTCGATTGTTTGTTGATCATATCTATATATGCATTATGATATATCTATGAAGGATGTCCCAAGATTAGACTTTAATAGTATAGTTAATATATAGTTAGTCTAAAGTCGAATCCATATAACTCACATTTGAAAAACATACTTAAATACGTCTGTGTCTTAGTTACTATGACTAAGATATCCGTTGACTTTGTCAATATGAACATGTGAATTTGCAAAAAATTTTACTAGAAGTTTTGCTTGAATTGATCAACATCTTAAACTCATTGATCTCAAAACGAATCTTAACTTTGTCGGTGAGTAAAATAAATATTAAGAGACTGATCTTTTGAATTATTTATATGATAGATGATCATAAGATTTGATATGAACCTTTATTTATGTTTTCTACACTGATATCAATCTTTGAATGAGATTTTTTATTTGAATTATTTATTTATCATGTAAACCTTTTTCCTTTCATAAAAAATTTTTTTTGTAGCATGAACGTAATATAACATTACATTTCCTTTTGTATTCACTTCTTTTGTTTCTATCGGTATGTATCTATTTTACATGAAGTAGTTGATCATCATAGTCATTGGTGGGTAGTAACGTTGAATATTCTAACATAATTGAATAGAACTTCGTGTGCTTTTCTTCAATAGATTTCTCTTTTAGTTCTAATTATCTTTCAAATTTCATATAACACTTTAAAGAAAATTTTTTCATCAATCATTAATTTTTTTGTACACTGAAATAGAGGTGAAAGTCTTTCTTAAAAAATGAATGATATATCACAATATCATTTTAATATGCTGCATTACCATTTGTTCTTTATGCGGTAATTATGGTCTTCTCATTAAATCCTTATTTTAAAACAACCAAAATATTTGAATTGAATATTCATAAAACTGATCAATAAGCTATAGACCTCTTGAGTAGATAGTCAAGCTGAAATATTACTTTGAATTAAGAATAAAATATCTAATAAAAATATTAAATTAATCACTCAGTTTTTCTTTTACAATAATACTAGTAATCATTTTGAATTATGATAAATTACAGATGTCGCTTATAATTAGATATACATATATATACTGCTATTGCATGAACAGGATCTTTGTATAAATTAGATCTTAATCAGTAAATCTAAATTTCTTTTTTTTTTTAATTGCAAATATTACTCTAGTTTTTTTGAGTTTTATCATAAAGTTTTTATTGATTGGTTAACATAAACTCTATATAGCAACACGTCAATAGTAGGAAAATGAAATAAACTCTATTTATCATATTTATTTTCTTGACAAATTATTGCATATAAATATAAATATGATATATATCAATTCTAGACCTAACATTTCCTATATTGCGGCTGTTTAAATATTATTCGACTATGAAACGTAATGCCTTCAACAACAGATTCAATAACATCGAATGATCAATGTGAACATTGTCATAGTGCCTATACACTAATTAAAAAAAAAGTAAAATTTAATCAATCAAATATGATTGATTTTGTTTTGTTTTTTATTTTCAGAAAATTTGTGCAGTTTGTCGTCAATATTATTGTGGAAATTGTGCACCACGTGAACGTTATCTTAATCATTCCTACCGTATTTGTCTTACTTGTCAATTAATATCTAATAATTCTACAACAAACGATCAATTACTTGAATTAAAAGTAAAACATTTAAGAAATTATTTACAAGCAAAAGACATTCCTCACAATACTTGTACAGAAAAACAAGAACTTGTCGATTTAATAATACGTAGTCGACATTTACCATTTTCACGTTTACTTAATCAACAAACAGAAACTTCACCAATAACAAATAATACAAATCAAGAACAAAATCATACAACATTTAATCAAACTTCAACATCAAATAATTCTTCTCCATCAACATCAAGAATGCATTCATCAAAATCTGGACCATTTTCAAATTTTCAACAAACAGTATCATCATTTGCTAATCAAGTGAATAATTTTGCTTCAAATATACAAGATTATGTTGCAAATACAGTATCTGATGTTATGAATCATACACTTGGTGATCAACCACAACAGGCAACAACAACAACAACAACAACGACTTCTCATAATTCTAACCGTGGAGCATCATCTAATAATTCTTTTCCATCACCTGGAAGTTCTACTCACACAACAACAAATAGACCGGCACCATCTAATACACAACAACAACAACAACAAAGACCTTCACCATCGGGCTCAGCAACTGCTAGTTCGAATTCGGTTGGTTAATTGTGTGTTGATTTTTTCGAAAACATATTTATTTATTTTTAGACTGCAAATCAACGAGTACGTCGAAAATCTCTAAGTGAAATAAATAATGAAGAAAATATTGAAGACTTCAGTATTCGTGAATTAAAAGAACTTTTAGCAGCAAATTTTGTTGATTTTAAAGGATGTATCGAAAAAAGTGAATTAATTGATAAAGTTCGACGGCTCTATCGTGATCGACAAAATGAAAAAAATAAAGGTATATTAATCAAGTTTTCTCTCAATTTAAATTGAAATATTTCTTTTTTTTTCTCGTTTTTTTTAGCAAAAGAACTTGGTGATATAACAGCAGGTGATAGTGAACTATGTAAAATATGTATGGATGCCATCGTTGATTGTGTCTTCTTAGATTGCGGTCATATGGTAAATTGATATACAATAAAAAATTGAATAGTACCATAAGAAAATAGGATAGTGGAAAGATGTTTTACATAAAGAAAAATAATAAATAATTAATTATTTTCAGTAAGATTTTATTCTGAGAGCTGAGCATAACATTTTCGAACTAATCCGTCTACTTCCAATCATTGAAAGTTGATGGATTTTGTTTTTTTTTTATTTTCAATAGTGTTATGTTAAATCAATTTTGGCAATATTTTTACACAAAACATTGAGTATGGATGTTAGGATATAAATTAGGATGTTTTATTTTGAAAGTTTGAATAAATATAAAAATCCTACTTTGTTTTTTAATTTTTGTTTAGGTAACATGCGTCAAATGTGGTAAATTACTTGCTGAATGTCCTATTTGTCGATCGAATATTGTGCGTGTAGTACGCGTTTTTAAATCATAAATTGTATTTTTGTCGTACAAAAAAGTAACTTTTTTTTTTTTTTTTTTGTTTTTGTATTTATACATCTTCTCTTTGAAAGAAAAATATTGTTTCTCTTGAACCTTGATTAAGATCATCTATAATTTAAAATCGAAGGCATTGAAAGAGATCATAACTGAAATTATGTCTAAGATTAATCCAGTAGAATAGTTTCAAAGAAAAATCGGTCACATCTCTCCATAAATTTCATAGTGTACTACATGACACCATCTAATAACATATTGGACATACATAAATATGTATCCATCTGGTGTTGTGTTATATTATGTTATGGTAATTTCATTTATTTTAATTTCATCATTTGTAACGGTACTTATGTATTATTTTCAACATATTACAAGGTTGAATGATATAATTTGAAAAAAATCAATTGACTATTTCAAAATAAGACTCGTAAGTTTGTAAGTATCATAACTTATTAAGCTAATGAGTAGTTATTATTCTTTTTGTAAATAATTTTTGCTTTTGTGCTTTCTCTCTAATATATAATAGTCGTCTATGTATTGTTTATTCTGTTGTATTGTTCATACATTATTCGTTGTCGTGAACATTTGCTGATCGATGTTTGTCAGCAGCTATGCTTTGTAGGATACTCGAGAGATGAAACCGAATATTGATAAATGATGTCTGTCTTGGAGTTACGAACAATGCATAAAAGAATTCAACAAATATTTCGGTATGTTGCTATTAGATTATTATCGAATACTCATTCAGGTTAGTCAAGAATTAACATAAGAATCTGTCCCTACGAAAGCTAAAAATATATGAAATTAATTGAAATAGAGAATTATATCTGAAGAAGAGATTGCCTTGGCTATGGATTACAAAATATTATTATCTTGTTTTTCGGTTTAATCAAATGATCATTTAAGATTTTATTATAAATACTTAAAGGCTAAATTGATTGAGTAATATTAAATAGGTATTATTTTTTTTTGAATCTATTAACTAATCAAGTGGAAGTGTGCAAATCTTAAAATATT